AAAAAAAAAAAAAGAATTTGTTACTAGAAAGGTTTGTCAAAATGCAAAGGTAAGTAGGGGAAAGTGACATATTAATGGAGAACTCTCCATTAATGTCCTGGGACTATTTGGGATTTTAGATGTGTCAAGAACAGGCCAGGCAGCGGTGGCGTATGCCTTTAATCTCAGCATTTTGGGAGGCTGAGGCGGGCAGATCACTTGAGGCCAGGAGGTTGAGACCAGCCTGGCCAACATGGTGAAACGCCGACTCTACTAAAAATACAAAAATTAGCTAGGCATGGTTTTGGGTGCCTGTAATCCCAGTTACTCCAGAGGCTGAGGCACGAGAATCACTTGAACCGAGGAGGCAGAGGTTGCACTGAACCAAGATCCGTGCCACTGCACTCCAGCCTGGGCGACAAAGACTCCTTTTCAAAAAAAGAAAAAAAATAGCACAGATTGGGGAACCTGTACAGTGAGAGGGTAACATGAAGGGCACCAAAATTACCTGGGTGTTAGTGAGCAAAGCTTAGGAAATCATGCCATGGAACAAAGGTGATAAATGTCAAAGACAAACTTTGCCTACATTTCTATTTCTCTAAATCTGGCCCTGAGTAGGATATCCCTTTACTTCCTTGTCTCTGCCCAGTTATGTTTTTGAAACTCTGTGTCAGCCCTGGAATTATCCTCATGTTCTGCATCAACTTAATGATTTCAGCATCCATGTTCATGACTCATTAGTACTCTGACCTCATAATTTATCATCCTTTTCTTTTCCAATCATCTTCAACTTCACTCTGTATCAGCAACTCACAGATGGAGCCACACCTTCAACCTAGTCATTGATGAAATTACTTCCCCTTCAAAATGTTGGATTGTGAGTTTCCCTCTCTACCTACAGCTACCTACCCCCCTCTACCTCTATTTTGTGGTCACTCCCATTGAATCTGCAATTTGTCCTCAATGTGACAGCTAGTCTTTCTACTCATAGTTTATAACCTGTTTCCTATCCTTTTATCTCGAGCCTCAGCCTCCTGAGTAGCTGGGATTACAGGCATGCGCCACCACGTCTGGCTAATTTTTGTATTATTAGTAGACACAGGGTTTCTCCATGTTGGTCAGGCTGGTCTCGAATTCCCGAATTCCCAACCTCAAGTGTTCCGCCCGCCTTGACCTCCCAAAGTGTTGGGATTACAGGCATGAGCCACTGCCCGGCCAAGAACGCTTTTATCAACCATTTTAACTGCACTCTCTTTAATATCTTCAGTTCCCTTGACCTTCACTTATGTTTACCTTATCAGGCCATTTACTAACTATTTCCTTTTTCCTTGAGGTATCAGCCACACCCTAACATTTATTTTTAGTACAGAATTTTGTTTTACTATTCCATGGAAAAATCGAGACCATCATTTGTGAGCATCCTTAACTTTTCTCCAAATTAGGAGGCAAATATATGTATATCCTCCTTCTCTTTTCACTGTTCTTCAGAAGAAGAAAGACCCCTTTTGTTTTATTTTTATTTATTTATTTTTGAGACAGCGTCTCACTCTGTTGCCCAGGCTGGAGTACAGTCGAGTGCACGATCTCAGCTCACCAAAACCTCCACCTCCCAGGTTCAAGCAATTCTCCTGCCTCAGCCTCCCAAGTAGCTGGGCCTACAGCCACACACCACCATGCCCGGCTAATTTTTTTCTATTTTTAGTAGAGACCAGGTTTCACCATGTTGGCCAGGGTAGTCTCAAACTCCCAACCTCAGGTGATCTGCTCGCCTCAGCCTCCCAAAGCACTGGGATTACAGGTGTGAGCAACCGCACCCATACCCTCCCCCTTTGTCTGAGACGGAGTTTTTGCTCTTGTTGCCGAAGCTGGAGAGTAATGGCACAATCACAGCTCACTGCAACCTCTGCCTCCCGGGTTCAAGTGATTCTTCTGCCTCAGCCTCCCTAGTAGCTGGGATTACAGGCATGCAATACCATGCCCTGTTAATTTTGTATTTTTAATAGAGATGGGGTTTCTCCCTGTTGGCCAGGCTGGCTTCAAACTCCCAGCCTCAGGTGATCCACCTGCCTCGGCCTCCCAAAATGCTGGAATTACAGGCTTAAGCCACCATGCCCGGTCCCCTTTCCTTTTAAAAGGTTAATTCCTCCTCCTCTGTTCTTGGTATTACTAATAAGTTTAGTCTCCTAGTTTCATACTTTTCATTAATAGCACTAAATGTCTTCAAAATGTTTAAAAATTAAATATTAAGTCAGTGGTGAGTTGAGGACAGATCCTCTGCATGTGTTAAAACCTTTGTAACCTGACAGCACCTAATTCACCAAAATTAAAAATAACTAATTAAATGTCTAAAAATGAAGTATGTTAAGCTAGATTGTAATTCACTTAACAAAATGAGCTGAGAGTGAAAAATGAACTTAAATTTCCAAGCTAGAAGACAGGAGAAATTCATTTCATAGCAATAAAACTCAGAACCATTATGACTGCTATTTCAAAAAATTTTTTGAAAAATAATGTGTAGGGGAGGGAGAGAGGAAAAAAAAATGTGTATTCAGAAAAATGAATGTACTATAAGAGTACAGCCTGAACATTTTTGACAAACTGAATACAGCTATGTTTGTCATCTACATCAAGAAACAGAAGGCCGGGCATGATGGCTTATATCTGTAATCCCAGCACTTTTGGAGGCCGAGGTGGGTGAATCACATGGTCAGGAGTTCAAGACCAGCCTGGCCAACATGGGGAAACCCCGTCTCTACTAAAAATACAAAAATTAGCCGGGGTTCCGTGTGTGGAGTGTGCCTATAATTCCAGCTCGAGAGGCTGAGGCAGGAGAATCACTGGAACCTGGGAGACAGAGGTTGCAGTGAGCCGAGATCATGCCACTGCACTCCAGCCTGGACTACAAAGCAAGACTCCATCTCAAAAAAAAAAAGAAAATTAGCCAGGTGTGGTGGTGGGCACGTGTAATCCCAGCTACTTGGAAGGCCAAAGCAGGAGAATGGCTTGAATCCGAGAGGCAGAGGTTGCAGTGAGCCGAGATGATGTCACTACACTCCAGCCTGGGTGACAGAGCAAGACTCCATCTTAAAAAAAAAAAAAAAAAAAAGTAACAGAAAATGGGCCAGGCATGGTGGCTCATACTTGTAATCCTAGCACTTTGGAAGGCTGAGATGTGTGGATCACAAGGTCAAGAGATCGAGACCATCCTGGCCAACATGGGGAAACCCCGTCTCTACTAAAAATACAAAAATTAGCTGGGCGAGGTGGTGTGTGCCTGTAGTCCCAGCTACTTGAGAGGCTGAGGCAGGAGAATTGCTTGAACCCAGGGGGTGGAGGTTGCACTGAGCCGAGACTGCGCCACTGCACTCAAGACTGGCAACAGAGCAAGACTCTGTCTCAAAAAAGAAGAAACAGAAAATGACCAGTACCCCAAACGGCCCCTCCTCCCATTCAGTTATTGGAAAGCCATAGCTGACCAGTATTCTAATGTCAGTTTTATGGAAACTTGAAAAGTTTGTTTGAGACAGAGTCCTGCTCTGTCGCCAGCCTGTTGTGCAAGGGCACAATCGCGGCTCACTGCAACCTCCGACTCCCAAGTTTAAGCAATTCTCTTGCCCTCAGCCTCCCGAGTAGCTGGGATTACAGGCGACTGCCACAATGCCCAGCTGATTTCTTTGTATTTATAGTAGAGACGGGGTTTCTCCATGTTGGCCAGGGTGGTCTCGAACTCCTGACCTCAGGTGATCCACTCACCTCAGCCTCCCAAAGCACTGGGATTACAGGCACGAGCCACCGTGCCCGGCCTGTTTGTTTTTTGAGATGGAGTTTTACTCTTTTTGCCCAGGCTGGCGTGCAATAGAGTGATCTCGGCTTACCGCAACCTTCATCTCCCAGGTTCAAGTGATTCTCCTGCCTCAGCCTCCAGAATAGTTTGGATTACGGGCATGTGCCACCACACCTGGCTAATTTTGTATTTGTAGTAGAGACAGGTTTTTCCATGTTGGTCAGGCTGGTTACTCCCAACCTCAGGTACTCCACCTGCCTCGGCCTCCCAAAGTGCTGAGATTACGGGCTGAGCCACCACGCCCGCCCAGAAACTTGAAAAGTTAATGGAAATTTTTTTTTTCACATCAGATGGGAAGTGTGCCAACATTGTAACAAGGTTTGAGGGAGGCACATCTCACATATGCACATGAAAACCCAATCATCAGGCTTATGAACTACAAAGAATGTGACACTTGTGTCTTAATATTTTGTGCAAAAGTAATTTCTGCCATTACTTTTAATGGTGAAAACCACAATTTTGCACCAACCTAATATACTTATTTTAATTAATATACTAAGCCAAGAGAGTTTAAAGTGGTATAAGTACTGCTCCGTGAAGGTTAAACACAGAGGAAGGGATCTAGCTCAGAGATCTCCATCCTCCAGCCTTCTAGGGAAAACCCTGATCAGATAGCCATGGGCTGGTCAATGATCTTGAGTTATTCTGTTTCAGAGAGAAGCTTGGCTTCAGAGAAGGAAAGGCCGATGCAGACACATGAGCAACAGTTAGGTACATCCTATTCCCAGACACATACATAGGATAAGGAAGTCAGGTATTGGGACTGTAGCTTTGGAATGGACCATACTTGCTTCAGAATATTATCATGGGGAGTTTGAGAAGCAAGGGCTTTCCTTTGTTGACTCTCCTTTCACCAATCTTCCTAGAAAGAATATTCTGCAGTTACAAAATAGTTTCCTTGGTTGCAAGTCTGATACTTATACTAAAACCAAATCGATAAAAAAGGACCATGAATTTCAAAGAAATATATGCTGTGAGCTTGTATAGCTAAGAATTCTCAACCCCCTATATAGGATTTGGAGAAAGATACAGTACTTACTATATTAAATAATGGTTTAGGTAAACCATTATTTTACCTGTCTCCCTAAGAGAGGACGGCAGCCCATACTGAAAAGCAAAAATGAAATGGATATACTTTCTAAGAGGGCTGGAATTTTCTGAAAATTGTCCCCTCTGATTCTTCACAGGATTTTGGGAATGGCCATCTTCCATAATTAACAAATAAATTAATGAAGTTTAATGTCAGGGTCAAATGCAATTGGAAACAAAGCGTATCTTGTGGTATGTCAAATTATGAGAGTCATTATTTAGATGTAAGGATAGATGAAAGATAGACTTTTAGAGGAAACACTATGACCTCCTGCTTCTTGGTTTTCCTTGTGTGATTTCCTCCTTTTGAGTATGAAGGGATATATGTCATCAGGTTATATGATAGTGCCCATCTTGCTAGTGTCTCTCATTCTCTTGTGGCTCTGAAAAATCAAGCTGCCATGTTTGAGCTTTAATATGGAGAGACCCACATGTTAAAGAACTGAGGTCAGCCTCTGCCAACAGCTAGCAAGAAACGGAATCTCTCAATCCTACAATCTTAAGGAACTGAATTTTGCCAACAAAAGCAGATCCTTCCCCAGTCAAGCCTCAGATAAGACAGCATCCTCAGCCAACAACTTGTTTGCAGCCTTGTGAGAACTGAAGCAGAGAACCCAGCTATGTTGTGCCTAGACTCCTGACCACAGAAACTGAGATAATAAATATGTAGTTATTTTAAGCTGCCAAGTATGTGATAATTTGTTATGTGGTGGAAAACTAACACAGCAGGGAAAAGTTAAAAACTATTCATATAAATATTTATAATGGATATTTCTACATAGTTAAATCAAGATTTTCTTAAGTTGATAAGAAGATATGAATCTGGGCTGGGCTTGGTGGCCCATGCCTGTAATCCAAGCACTTTGGAGGCCGAGGTGGGCGGATCACCTGAGGTCGGGAGTTCAAGACCAACCTGACCAACATAGTGAAACCCCATCTTTAAAAAAA